TTTTCACATCTAATCCATGAACTAATGAATTCTTTTATCTAATATTCTAAATTTCTGCATTTTTTGTTCTTGATTCCCACTTTTAAAAATTATGCTGTAGATGCCTACTTTCTATCTCTCCATTTAATATCTCTAATATGTAGTAATAGGAGCTTGCCTATATATATGTTTGTGAGGATACAGGGATCTAGGCATGAATGTCAATACAGTATAACAGCATTTTCTCTATTCCACCAACATTTTGAGAAAAGTGTGGGCAGCATTTTCTCCACATATCCACCTGACCACTCTCAAAAGCAAAACCAAATCCCAGAAATTTTCTCCATTGACATAAACAATGCCCACAGAAGCTACTTCAAGCAGACAGATATGTCCTAGCTAAAGGAAATAAAAGACAAAATTGGATTTTCTGGAAGTCTAGTGCCTTTGCCAGATTGGGGAAATTTCCTTTATTATTTGTTCAAATAAGCTTTCCACTCGTGACTGTTCCTCTTCCCCTTCTGGTACCCCTATAATGCGGATGTTGGAGCATTTAAAGATGTCCTGGAAGTTCCTCTCCTCATTTTTTTAAATTCTTGTTTCTTCATATTTTTCTGTTTGGTCATTTTTTTCTTCCTTCTGGTCCACTCCCTTGATTTGAGTCCCAGTTTCCTTTCCATTACTATTGGTTTCCTATGCATTTCCCTTCATTTCAATTAGTTTAGCCTTCATATGTTCCTCTAATTTGTGACTAAAATCAACCAGTTCTGTGAGCATCCAGATCACCAGTGTTTTGAGGAAGTTCAGAGAGTCCCAAATAAGTTGGACCCAAGAAGGAACACACCAAGGCACATCATCATTACATTAGCCAAGATTAAAATGAAGGAGAGAATCCTAGAAGCAGCAAGAGATAAGGAGACAATCACCTACAAAGGACTTCCCATCAGACTGTCAGATGATCTCTCAAAAGAGACCTTGTAGGCAAGAAGGGGCTGGAAAGAAGTATTCCAAGTCATGAAATCCAAGGATCTACAACCAAGATTGCTCTATCCAGCAAAGCTTTCATTTAGAATGGAAGGACAGATAAAAGTGCTTCTCAGATAAGATCAAATTCAAGGAGTTCATCATCACCAAGCCCTTATTATATGAAATGTTAAAGGGACTTATCTAAGAAAAAGGAGTTAAAAAGATGAACAGTGAAAGGACATCCAGCTCGCAGTTATTAAGAACCACACCTAAAACAAAAGCAAACTAAGAGGACAGCTAGATCAGGAGCAGAACCATAGAAATGAAGATCACATGGAGAGTTAGCAACAGGGGAGTGGGAGAAGAAGGGAGGAGAAGGTACAGAAAATAAGTAGCATAGATGGTAGGTAGAAAATAGATAGGGGGGAAGGCAAGAATAGTATGGGAAATATAGAATCTAAAAATTTGAGATATGTGGTCATAAACTAAAGGGGGGAGAATGGTGGGGGAGGGGTATGCAGGGTGGAGGGGAATGAAGGGGAGAATAGAACAACTCTAATGGCATAATCAATAAATTTTTTTAAAAAGGACAAAATTGGTAGATTTGGGCTGTGACAACAGGTGCACTTCGTTTGGCTAGAATGGGACTGAGGTGAAAAGGCTTGTACCAAGCCAGCAGAGGCAACTTGAAGTTAAGGGAGTGAGCTGGCTGGATGGGTACCTAGGCACAGGAACCAAAAGGGAAGAGAGAGAGGTAGGTGGTATAACTCATTGCAGGTTTTTAACTTGGGATATTAAGAACTAGCTGTGACATCCAGTAAAATACATACTGATTAGTCCTCATTTATTTTTAAACACATCAGTGTGAAGGAGAGCAGAATTTGGCAAACCCATTTTATTTCTATTAATATTTGTTCATTTAATTGACTTTCTTCACAAGAGAATACCAGGGTTTTTTGTTTCTTTTTACCTCTCTTCTCCTAAGACATCATCACATCACATGATAATTTCAGCCTCCAGCATAGGAGTCCTGAGATCCTCAAACAAGCAATTTCCCCAAGGGCAGCACTATTCTTTGAATGCTCATAGCATGGCTCTCCTAACATTGCTCAAGGGAGAGTAGTTAGATAATCATCTCTCTGGTGCAAGGAAACAAACTGCTAAGCAGCTATTTTTCTATGTACCTCTTCCTTTACCTCAATACTGCTTCTTCATGAAATGCACTTGGCAGAAAAGAGTTGTAGCTGAACAGAAACCTCCATCCTAGGTCCATTTTGAGGGTTAGCAAAGTTGAGTCCCCAAAGGCTGGACAAAACCAGTGTCAACAATCTAAAGCAGAAGTGTAATACTATCAAGAACTACTCCCACATTGTAGTTACTTTGCCCTCAGCACAGATCAAGCATTTTTGAGAAAGGCCTTTCAAAATCCTCACACATTAAAGGTTTTCCTTTGCTCAAAGTACCACATCAGTCAGCAATATCCTCTGCTTCCTGAGAATAATGCAATGCAACAATCCCATAAGACAGCACCACAGTGATGAAGTTTCAGCAGCTGCAGTCCACAGGCCAGGGAGAGATCCTTACCAGTCTGGATCTGCAAAAACTGGCCATGAGCTAGGGAAATCCCTTTATTTGGACAACAAGTAAAACAAGCTGATGGGACTTCACCATCCCTGAGTTAGAAGGAAACATGACTACCTGGGGCCTAACTTACCAGAGTGAAAAGAAATAACCTATACTCTTTTAATTAATTTAAAGCCTAATGCTCCATACCAATATACTGTTAGAATATAATCCAGACCTGCCATTTATTCAGCAAGCCAGGAAAATGGCCAAAAAGTGGTGAAATGCGTGAAAAAGCACAACTGGTCCTGGCTGGGTGGCTCAGTTGGTTACAGCATCATCTCAATATACCAATGTTGTGGGTTCAATCCCTGGACAGGACACATACAAGAATCAACCAGTTAATGCATAAATAAGCAGAACAACAAACTGATGTCTGCCTTTCTATTTCTCTTTCTCCCTCTCTGTCTCTTTCTCCCTCTCAAAAAACCAATAAATAAAAAAAAATTAAAAAGCATGACTGTCTGGGTAAAAGCCCAACTTCATTATTTACTAACTGTGTGACCTAAGGCAGATTACCATACTTGCCTATTCTACCACTATGTTTATGCATAAATAAAATGGAAATGACATTAGCAATTAACTCATTGTACTGTTGGGAAGAGTAAATGAGTTAGCATTTAAAGTGCTTAGATCACTGCCTGGCACACAGTAAGCACCATCTAAGGAGGTAATGTTCTTAAGTGAACATCCCTGAGAGCAATGCACAGACTTACCTTTCTGTGTCAGAGTGGATTACTGGTTTCACTATGAAATTGCTATTCAAATTGTATATAAAAATGCCCACCATTTTTATTTGTTTAATCAAAAAAGATTTAAAAGATGTTTTAGAAAAAAACTAAACTATTATTTTATATGTAAGTGATAATTATTAGATGAAGATTTGTAATACTTCCTCACTCCCCCTCCAAAAATATATATGCTAAAAGGTTGCTATGTTTTCAGCATATACTCATTAATAATTTATCAAGCACATGAAAGCATTCTCCAAGTTTAAAGTTTCTTCAGTCCATTAAGCATATTAAGGCAGGAACCAGAGACATAAGTTCTAAATCTGGCTTTGCTACAAATCAACAACAGGAACATAGGCAAATCGCTTACAGCTTTATGAACAATTCCTTGTGAGGCCTTTATTTTTCTCATGTCCCCACAGAATAAGAAAGACTTCAGATACAAATGGGTGTGCAGTTCTGCACATAAGCAGCAATATGGTACAAATTATACATATACCTCATTTCAACCCACTTCAAGAAGGAACTTTAATATGCTTCCCCTCACCTTGGTTTGGTCTCTGCAGTCAACATTGGGCTTTCTATTTGGATTTCCACTTACATAACAATCTTGGAGTGCCCCTTGCTGATGTTCTTCACATTCCTGGTCCAACAGTATCAATTTTAAACACATCTTCCCTTGAGTCCAACAGCCCACATGCTTAACCTGAACAGGCTCTGACCACAAAAAAGGTGCATCCCACACTATCACCATCACTCTCATCCATTTGTAGGTTTCCCCCCTGCACATTGCTCCACCTTTTCACTCTGCACCTTATAAGCACAAGCTTCTGAAATCCTCTGTTCATCTAGGTTCACTTATGTTCTTGCTCTACATCTTGGTGCCATTTCCCCCCAAAACTTCTGTTTCTCTACAGATATTCTTTTAACATAATCCCTGTAATATCCTTCTTATCCTACCTCTATAATAATCATCAAAGGGTTATGTGTAGAGAAAAAAAACTTTCTAAAACCACTTTCTCCTTAAAGGTCATTATTTATATGAGAATGATTCTACTGAGTTTAGATGGTCCTATCTAAGGTGCTTTTAAAGTATAGAAAATGACTTCAGGTGTTACAATTTATCAAACCTGTAACTATTTTCAAGCATAGTAAAAAAGAGCCACTGATATGATTATCATATTGTTTTTCACCTATTTATAAATATTTTAAAAGAAACAATAGGGAAATAAATGCAAATTTTAACAGAACAGGAGATCAGGGGGAAAAGCTTAGAACTGCCATACCCAAGTCAATAAATTTGAAGAAACTGAGCTATTTTCTGCTGACCTTAATTATATCCCATAATTTATTCTAAAAGGAGTAATAAAAATATTTTTACTTAAACTGAGTCATATTTATTTTATAGTATCTTAGACATTAGAATTTGACCCAGAATCATTTTCCTTTATTTTATTTATTGTTTTTCAATTTAATAAAAATAATATATGCTTTGTCTAAAGTTTAAAAAAAAATATTTTAGAAATATGTAACCTAACAGTGAAAGGCTTCTATATGTGCCAACACAACATATACACACATGCAAGATAATAACAAAGCTACTAGTGTATATTCTTTTAGATTTTTTCCCTGTACATATACTAATACACATGTGTATTGATAATAAGTCTGTTTTTAAATAGAAAGAATTTCATTACTCACCAAAATAAGCCCCGATATTAGTGAGGAAGTGCCTGTCAAGGCCACATAGAACTTTGGTGTTAACGTGTTCAAAAACATGCTCACTGAAGAAAAAAAAAAGAGAAGGGGGGGAAAAGAACAAGGAATGCATGAGTATGCGAATAAAACCAATTTTTATTTTTCTTCCTGTTGGAATCATTTGTTTCTGGTGATAAAAATTCTTAGAACCATAGCAAAGCTCTATATTAAAATGGTTCAGCACTTCACAAGGTCAGAATACTAGGTGTTAAGTATTAACATACTCTGAAAGAAAAATGCTACATACAAGAATAAATGAGCATCTTTTTTAGTTTTTTGCCTACCCAAACTATTCTTGTGAATGATTTCCATGGATTCCTAACCACTGAAAAGTCTAATCAAAACTGGTTATAACTGTCAGTCAAATACAGAAGATGCCCTGTATGTTTTGTGGGACCCACACATCAGAATCCTTGATGAAACAACAGCAGTATTTCAACTTTAGGACAAATGGAAAATAACTATATTCAACAGTATTAAAGATCATACTACCCCTAAAAAGGAAGGACAAACTGACAGAAGAAAGCATATATTAGTAATTTTTTTCAGCTTACTAACAAATCATCAAAATAATTGGATTCAATGAAAAAAAGATGAAAAATAAGCCATTAAAAATTAATGGAATTTTTACCAGGAATTTTCCTGACTGGTTCCTGGCACTCTCTCCGTATCAACTATACTGTTGATCTGGTCGCCTGTTAAGAAAGGTTTACTTACAAAGAAAGCAGGAAAAAACAATGGAGTAAAGACAGTCCATTCAACAAATAATGTTGGGAAATTTGGACAGATATGTGAAAAAAAGTGAAACTAGACCACCTTCTTATACCATACCCAAGATTAAATTCAAAATGAATTAAAGACTTCTGTGTAAGAGTTGAAACCATTAAAATCCTAGAAGAAAACACAGGCAAAAAAAGTTTGACATTTCTCTTAGTAATATTTTTTTCCTGATCTATCTCCTCAGGCAAGAGAAACAAAATAAAAGTAAGCAAATGAGACTACATCAAACAAAAAGTTTTTGCCCAGCAAAAGAAACTATCAACATACCAAAATGCAACCTACTAAATGGAAAAATATTGTTGCCAATGATACATCTGATAAGGGGTTAGTATCCAAAATTTATAAAGAACTTATAAATCTCAACACCAAAAAAAATCCATCTTCAAAATATGCAAAGTACCTTAATAGACATTTTTCCAAAGATGACATACAGATGACCAATAAACATATGAAAAGATGCTCAACATCACTGATTGTCAGAGAAATGCAAATTCAACATACACTAAGATAGTACCTCACATCCATTAAATGGCTATCATTAATAAATCAACAAAAAACATGTTGGCCAGGATGTGGACAAAAAGGAACCCTGTGCACTTTTGGTATAGCCACTATGGAAAACAGTATGGAGGTATCTCAAAAACTTCAAAATACAACTCCCTTATTACCCAGCAATTCCACTTCTTGGTATATATTGGAAGAAATAAAACATTAATTTGAAAAGATATATACACCCCTATGTTCATTGCGGTGTTATTTATAATAGTCAAGATGTGGAAGCAACTGAAGTCCCCATCAATATGGTAAGTGGATAAAGAAAATGTGGTACAGGACTTCAGTCAAGATGGAGGCATAGGTAGACACACTGCTTCCCCACACAACCAAAAAAATAACAACACTTTTAAAAACAAAAAACAACTAGAACTGACAGAAAATTGAACTGTATGGAAGTCCAACAACCAAGGAGTTAAAGATGAAACATTCATCCGAAAGTGGTAAGAGAGGCAGAGACGGGAAGCTTGGATGGAGAGGACTCACCACAAGGCAAGGCAGCACCTAGAGGACTGGGGCAGGCAAGGCAGGGGCTGGTGGACAGGGTGAGGAGGTAGCTGGCTAAATGGGAGGTCACACATTTGCATGTGGATAAACCAGGAGGAAAAACTGGGGAGTAAGATAGACTGTGCAAGTCAGGGTTCCAGTGCAGAAAAATAAAGCCTCAAAACCTCTGACTGAAAAAATCTGTGGGGGTTACAGCAGTAAGAGAAACTCCCAGTCTGACAACACAGTTTATTGGAGAGACCCACAGGGTCCTAGAATGTACACAAAACCATCCACTCAGAAATTAGCACCAGAAGGCCCCAATTTGCTTATGGGTAGTGGTGGAAGTGACTGAAAGCTGACACAGAGTCCAAAAACAGCATTGTTCCCATTTGGACCCCTCCCCCACATACAACACAGCAAAGTGGTTTGCCCTGCCCTGGTGAACATTTAAGGCTCTACCCCTTACTAACAACTGCACCAAGACAAAAAAAATGGCCCAAATGAAAGAACAGATCAAAGCTCCTAAGCGACAAAGAGATACCCCACCTACTGGATGCACAGTTCAAAACACTGGTAATCAGGATGCTCACAGAATTGGGTGAATATGGTTGCAAAATTGAAGAAAAAGTGAAGGCTATGCAAAGTGACACAAAGGAAAATATACAGTGAACCAACAGTGAAGGGAAGAAAACTGGGACTCAAATCAATGGTTTGGATCAGAAGGAAGAAATAAACAGTCACCCAGAACAGAATGAAGAAACAAGAATTCAAAAATATGAGGAGAGGTTTAAAACTTCTGGGAAAACTTTAAACATTCCAACATCCAAATCACAGGGTTGCCAAAAGGACAAAAGGGAGAGCAAGAAATTGAAAACTTACTTGAAAACATAATGAAGGAGAACTTCCCTAATCTCTGGCAAATGAAACAGACTTCCAGGAAGTCCAGGAAGCTCAGAGAGTCCCAAACAATTTGAACCCAAGAAGGATCACACCAAGACACATCATAATTACATTACCCAAGAACAAATATAAGGAGAAAATCAGAAGCAACAAGGGAAAAGAAGACAGTTCCCATAAGACAATCAGCTGATTTCTCAAAAGAGAACTTATAGGTAAGAAGGGGCTGGAAAAGTGTATTCCAAGTAATGAAAGGAATGATCTACATCCAAGATTATTCTATTCAGCAAAGCTATCATTTAGAATGGAAGGGCAGATAAAGTGCTTCCCAGACAAAGTAAGACTAAGAGTACATCATCGCCAAGCCATTATTACATGAAATGTTAAAGGGATTTATCTAAGAAAAAGAAGATAAAAATTATGAACAGTAAAATGACAACAAATTCACAACTATCAACAACCAAACCTTAAACAACAACAACTATGTAAACTAGAACAGGAACAGAATCACAGGAATGGAGACCACATGGAGGGTTATCAGTGGGGAAGGGAGAAAAGGAGAAAGGGGGAAAATGTACAGGAATAAGTAGCATAAATGGTAGGTATGAAATAGACAGGGAGGGGTTAAGAATAGTATAGGAAATGTGGAAGCCAAAGAACTTATATGGACGACCCATGGACATGAACTAAACAGGGGGAAATGTGGATGGGAGGGTGTGTATAGGGTGGAGGGGAATAAAGCGGGGGGGGGGGGGGGGGGTAGGATAACTGTAATAACATAATCAATCAAATAGATTAAAAAAATGAAAAAAGATGTGATATATATATTATATATAATATATATTATATATAATATATATTATATATATATATAATGGAATATTACTTGGCCATAAAAAGGAATGAAATCTTACCAGTTCAGACAACATAAATGGACTTAAGGATATTATGCTAAGTAAAACATGTCAGTCAGAGAAAGACAAATGCCATATGATTTAATTTATATGTATAATCTAAAGAATAAAATAAATAAACAAAACATAAATAGACCCATAGATACAGAGACCATACCAATGGTTGTGCTAGATGGGAACGGGGTTGGGAGACTGGGTGAAAAAGGTGAAGAGATTAGAAGTACAAATTGATACTTACAAAATAGTCACAGGGATGTAAAGTACAGCATAGGAAATAGTCAACAATATTGTAATAAGTATGTATGTGGTGTTATGTGGGTACTTGAGTTATTAGGGAGATCACTTTGTAAATTATACAACTGTCTAACTGTAACAAGGGAGTCTGGCCAGAACACTGGGAGATGGGGAGAAACCCAATCCAGCAAGAGAGCCTGGTCCCTCCAGAGAAGGGAAGGGTTGGCAGAAACTCCAAGACAGCAGATTGAAGCAACAGCTGGTGAAAAAGACTACCTTGCTGGAGAAGTAGGGGAACCCTGAAATGGGTGAAAAGTGCCAAAAGCAGTCCGGAATTAAAACTGGAGCTGGGGTACAATTGCATACAGTATTCCCGAGGCAGCAGTAAACAACTAACGCAGCTCATGACACCACTTGCACAGAGCCTATGTGGGCTGTGGAGCCTGGAAAAGGTCACAACACACATGTAACAAGGGGAAACCCTGCCCTGGGCAGAGTTGCAGTGCCCTAGTGTGGCTGGAAAACCCTCCCACCTGCTTCTGGATAATGGTGGCCAGAACAGGGCTGATTTACAGTATAGGATGACACTTATGGTGGGCATTAGCCTGGAACGGACTGGGAATTTTGACACTCCCACAGCGCACAGAATTTTGCAGAAAAGATTTCCAACAGAAGGCACGCGTAAGTGCTTCCCTTTTTCCTTCCCCTCATTTGCAGTCAGAAGCTAGCTGATGGAAGCTGAGTGCCATGCACAGGATGCACACTCCATCAGTGGCAGGGCCATGGGATGCCAGGCCCTGCTCGTAGCTCTTGCCTTGCCCTGTTCACATGGCCTGAAGTAGGCTCACATGGGACGTGTACCTCACCAGCAGCAGGCTTGGGTGGAAGGCTGCAGCCCTGCACAATATGGCATGGGTCCTAATCTGCTTCCATTCTCTCACCCTCAGAGTGACACACAGATGGGTGAGCTGGGAACATGTGATGGCCTCATGAGCTGGGAACATTCAATGGCCCCAAGGCACAAGCAGTCTTGGATGCCAGGGCCTACTAGACTGAGCCCCTAGCATGACTGGCTATAGTGATCTGGCCCCAGGAGAGGGAGAAAGCTGTGGTGGGACAATGAAGATGCTGGCCCTCAAGTGTGCACTCTAGAAAAAGTG